AAAGTGTTGTTGTCTTACTCAAAGTGTTGTTGTCTTACTCAAAGTGTTGTTGTCTTACTCAAAGTGTTGTTGTCTTACTCAAAGTGTTGTTGTCTTACTCAAAGTGTTGTTGTCTTACTCAAAGTGTTGTTGTCTTACTCAAAGTGTTGTTGTCTTACTCAAAGTGTTGTTGTCTTACTCAAAGTGTTGTTGTCTTACTCAAAGTGTTGTTGTCTTACTCAAAGTGTTGTTGTCTTACTCAAAGTGTTGTTGTCTTACTCAAAGTGTTGTTGTCTTACTCAAAGTGTTGTTGTCTTACTCAAAGTGTTGTTGTCTTACTCAAAGTGTTGTTGTCTTACTCAAAGTGTTGTTGTCTTACTCAAAGTGTTGTTGTCTTACTCAAAGTGTTGTTGTCTTACTCAAAGTGTTGTTGTCTTACTCAAAGTGTTGTTGTCTTACTCAAAGTGTTGTTGTCTTACTCAAAGTGTTGTTGTCTTACTCAAAGTGTTGTTGTCTTACTCAAAGTGTTGTTGTCTTACTCAAAGTGTTGTTGTCTTACTCAAAGTGTTGTTGTCTTACTCAAAGTGTTGTTGTCTTACTCAAAGTGTTGTTGTCTTACTCAAAGTGTTGTTGTCTTACTCAAAGTGTTGTTGTCTTACTCAAAGTGTTGTTGTCTTACTCAAAGTGTTGTTGTCTTACTCAAAGTGTTGTTGTCTTACTCAAAGTGTTGTTGTCTTACTCAAAGTGTTGTTGTCTTACTCAAAGTGTTGTTGTCTTCTTACTCAAAGTGTTGTTGTCTTCTTACTCAAAGTGTTGTTGTCTTTCTTACTCAAAGTGTTGTTGTCTTCTTCTTACTCAAAGTGTTGTTGTCTTACTCAAAGTGTTGTTGTCTTTCTTACTCAAAGTGTTGTTGTCTTTCTTACTCAAAGTGTTGTTGTCTTTCTTACTCAAAGTGTTGTTGTCTTTCTTACTCAAAGTGTTGTTGTCTTTCTTACTCAAAGTGTTGTTGTCTTTCTTACTCAAAGTGTTGTTGTCTTTCTTACTCAAAGTGTTGTTGTCTTTCTTACTCAAAGTGTTGTTGTCTTACTCAAAGTGTTGTTGTCTTACTCAAAGTGTTGTTGTCTTACTCAAAGTGTTGTTGTCTTACTCAAAGTGTTGTTGTCTTACTCAAAGTGTTGTTGTCTTACTCAAAGTGTTGTTGTCTTACTCAAAGTGTTGTTGTCTTACTCAAAGTGTTGTTGTCTTACTCAAAGTGTTGTTGTCTTACTCAAAGTGTTGTTGTCTTACTCAAAGTGTTGTTGTCTTACTCAAAGTGTTGTTGTCTTACTCAAAGTGTTGTTGTCTTACTCAAAGTGTTGTTGTCTTACTCAAAGTGTTGTTGTCTTACTCAAAGTGTTGTTGTCTTACTCAAAGTGTTGTTGTCTTACTCAAAGTGTTGTTGTCTTACTCAAAGTGTTGTTGTCTTACTCAAAGTGTTGTTGTCTTACTCAAAGTGTTGTTGTCTTACTCAAAGTGTTGTTGTCTTACTCAAAGTGTTGTTGTCTTACTCAAAGTGTTGTTGTCTTACTCAAAGTGTTGTTGTCTTACTCAAAGTGTTGTTGTCTTACTCAAAGTGTTGTTGTCTTACTCAAAGTGTTGTTGTCTTACTCAAAGTGTTGTTGTCTTACTCAAAGTGTTGTTGTCTTACTCAAAGTGTTGTTGTCTTACTCAAAGTGTTGTTGTCTTACTCAAAGTGTTGTTGTCTTACTCAAAGTGTTGTTGTCTTACTCAAAGTGTTGTTGTCTTACTCAAAGTGTTGTTGTCTTACTCAAAGTGTTGTTGTCTTACTCAAAGTGTTGTTGTCTTACTCAAAGTGTTGTTGTCTTACTCAAAGTGTTGTTGTCTTACTCAAAGTGTTGTTGTCTTACTCAAAGTGTTGTTGTCTTACTCAAAGTGTTGTTGTCTTACTCAAAGTGTTGTTGTCTTACTCAAAGTGTTGTTGTCTTACTCAAAGTGTTGTTGTCTTACTCAAAGTGTTGTTGTCTTACTCAAAGTGTTGTTGTCTTACTCAAAGTGTTGTTGTCTTACTCAAAGTGTTGTTGTCTTACTCAAAGTGTTGTTGTCTTTCTTACTCAAAGTGTTGTTGTCTTTCTTACTCAAAGTGTTGTTGTCTTTCTTACTCAAAGTGTTGTTGTCTTTCTTACTCAAAGTGTTGTTGTCTTTCTTACTCAAAGTGTTGTTGTCTTTCTTACTCAAAGTGTTGTTGTCTTTCTTACTCAAAGTGTTGTTGTCTTTCTTACTCAAAGTGTTGTTGTCTTACTCAAAGTGTTGTTGTCTTACTCAAAGTGTTGTTGTCTTACTCAAAGTGTTGTTGTCTTACTCAAAGTGTTGTTGTCTTACTCAAAGTGTTGTTGTCTTACTCAAAGTGTTGTTGTCTTACTCAAAGTGTTGTTGTCTTACTCAAAGTGTTGTTGTCTTACTCAAAGTGTTGTTGTCTTACTCAAAGTGTTGTTGTCTTACTCAAAGTGTTGTTGTCTTACTCAAAGTGTTGTTGTCTTACTCAAAGTGTTGTTGTCTTACTCAAAGTGTTGTTGTCTTACTCAAAGTGTTGTTGTCTTACTCAAAGTGTTGTTGTCTTACTCAAAGTGTTGTTGTCTTACTCAAAGTGTTGTTGTCTTACTCAAAGTGTTGTTGTCTTACTCAAAGTGTTGTTGTCTTACTCAAAGTGTTGTTGTCTTACTCAAAGTGTTGTTGTCTTACTCAAAGTGTTGTTGTCTTACTCAAAGTGTTGTTGTCTTACTCAAAGTGTTGTTGTCTTACTCAAAGTGTTGTTGTCTTACTCAAAGTGTTGTTGTCTTACTCAAAGTGTTGTTGTCTTACTCAAAGTGTTGTTGTCTTACTCAAAGTGTTGTTGTCTTACTCAAAGTGTTGTTGTCTTACTCAAAGTGTTGTTGTCTTACTCAAAGTGTTGTTGTCTTACTCAAAGTGTTGTTGTCTTACTCAAAGTGTTGTTGTCTTATTCAAAGTGTTGTTGTCTTACTCAAAGTGTTGTTGTCTTACTCAAAGTGTTGTTGTCTTACTCAAAGTGTTGTTGTCTTACTCAAAGTGTTGTTGTCTTACTCAAAGTGTTGTTGTCTTACTCAAAGTGTTGTTGTCTTACTCAAAGTGTTGTTGTCTTACTCAAAGTGTTGTTGTCTTACTCAAAGTGTTGTTGTCTTTCTTACTCAAAGTGTTGTTGTCTTTCTTACTCAAAGTGTTGTTGTCTTTCTTACTCAAAGTGTTGTTGTCTTTCTTACTCAAAGTGTTGTTGTCTTTCTTACTCAAAGTGTTGTTGTCTTTCTTACTCAAAGTGTTGTTGTCTTTCTTACTCAAAGTGTTGTTGTCTTTCTTACTCAAAGTGTTGTTGTCTTTCTTACTCAAAGTGTTGTTGTCTTTCTTACTCAAAGTGTTGTTGTCTTTCTTACTCAAAGTGTTGTTGTCTTTCTTACTCAAAGTGTTGTTGTCTTACTCAAAGTGTTGTTGTCTTACTCAAAGTGTTGTTGTCTTACTCAAAGTGTTGTTGTCTTACTCAAAGTGTTGTTGTCTTACTCAAAGTGTTGTTGTCTTACTCAAAGTGTTGTTGTCTTACTCAAAGTGTTGTTGTCTTACTCAAAGTGTTGTTGTCTTACTCAAAGTGTTGTTGTCTTACTCAAAGTGTTGTTGTCTTACTCAAAGTGTTGTTGTCTTACTCAAAGTGTTGTTGTCTTACTCAAAGTGTTGTTGTCTTACTCAAAGTGTTGTTGTCTTACTCAAAGTGTTGTTGTCTTACTCAAAGTGTTGTTGTCTTACTCAAAGTGTTGTTGTCTTACTCAAAGTGTTGTTGTCTTACTCAAAGTGTTGTTGTCTTACTCAAAGTGTTGTTGTCTTACTCAAAGTGTTGTTGTCTTACTCAAAGTGTTGTTGTCTTACTCAAAGTGTTGTTGTCTTACTCAAAGTGTTGTTGTCTTACTCAAAGTGTTGTTGTCTTACTCAAAGTGTTGTTGTCTTACTCAAAGTGTTGTTGTCTTATTCAAAGTGTTGTTGTCTTATTCAAAGTGTTGTTGTCTTACTCAAAGTGTTGTTGTCTTACTCAAAGTGTTGTTGTCTTACTCAAAGTGTTGTTGTCTTACTCAAAGTGTTGTTGTCTTACTCAAAGTGTTGTTGTCTTACTCAAAGTGTTGTTGTCTTACTCAAAGTGTTGTTGTCTTACTCAAAGTGTTGTTGTCTTACTCAAAGTGTTGTTGTCTTACTCAAAATGTGTTGTTGTCTTACTCAAAGTGTTGTTGTCTTACTCAAAATGTGTTGTTGTCTTACTCAAAATGTGTTGTTGTCTTACTCAAAGTGTTGTTGTCTTACTCAAAATGTGTTGTTGTCTTACTCAAAATGTGTTGTTGTCTTACTCAAAATGTGTTGTTGTCTTACTCAAAATGTGTTGTTGTCTTACTCAAAATGTGTTGTTGTCTTACTCAAAATGTGTTGTTGTCTTACTCAAAATGTGTTGTTGTCTTACTCAAAATGTGTTGTTGTCTTACTCAAAGTGTTGTCTAACTCGAAAAGCTCAAACTGGAAATCGATTCTCTTGGAAAAGAGTACCATAGTGGGTGAAAGTCCCATTACTGCTCATGACACAGACACGTTCGGTGCATTCTCTGTGCGGCCTCTTAACCAAAGCCTGAATTTGAAAAGAGAGCTTCAACGCTACAAACAAAAATTGAATGAAGCCGGATCAGTCCTGTTTGTCGAACAATCAAGCGCCCAGGTTGTTATCCGTGTGTTCGCGTCGAAGATGGCACAGCAGATAGAACAACATGCGCTTGTCCGCCCTTTTGTTGCTTTCTTAACGCTTGCATAGTGGGAAGCATATTTGCATTCTGTGCAATAACCTTCTTCTTCTTTTCTATCAAATACAAACAAGTAAGTGACGTCCAAGCGGACGGCAAAAATCATGAATGTACGGTATCCCTAGGCATGTATGTACAGCTTGGTATCCCTAGGCATGTATGTCCATTGTAGTAATCTCTCACCAGTCTCAATCTTGCGAAGCAACTTTTCCCTCTTTTTCTTCCCCGGACCCTTTCCATGAAAAGCCCACGAGATGTAGCGGAAAGCATCTTTGGGACCTAAAACTCTCCCAAATTCGTCTTTGTACTCAATTTTAATGTCGTTGGATCCAGTAGATTGATGTAGTGGCCGATTTTCTCCAGTACTTCGTCCGACCCTCCAAGTATCATCAGAGAGTTCACCTGCAGAGATAAAAATGAAACACGAAGACAAACAATCACATTGAAATGGACATACCTCGGGATTTCAGCATATTCAATGCAGATGAAAGACTTCCGTCCAATAAACTTTCTGAAACCAACAACTCCACCGCCTTCTCTTCATCTTTCGTGAGCTCTTCATCTGATGACTAGAGAGCGATAGGCCCATAAACGCAGAGTGCAAAATTCTAAAATCATTTTTTGTAATGGATCTAACTGGCGCACCTCTTCTCCAGCGTCCTCAGGAATCGCGTTTGCTGCGTTCTCATCCATTGGGACATCGTCACGCCACGACTGTTTTGCAGAACTTGAGGACGATGACGCTTCCGCCGCAACAAGCCCGCGCTTTCCTCTAACGAATCGACATATTAACAGTTTGGAACAAAATGACCCATTTGGGACAATGGGACCCATTTGAGCCTATTTGGGCCAGACGGGGATCGACGCACCTTTGTATGCGCTCTTCATGCTCCGCTTTCGCATTCTGGAGTTTTTCAAATGGCGTTTCTAAAGCGCGACAGAATTCAGTTGTTGCCGTCAACTCAATCGTCTTTTCTGACGATGTCCCCAGATCTGGAAGAAGCAAGAGTTTTGACAGTCTGTCATCTTAACATCATTAAGAAGAGAGAATCATCATTTAAAAAGAGAGAATCATCATTCAAGTAAAGAGAAAATCAATTTCTCAAAGAGATTTGTTCTGACCTTCCTTCTTGACACCAACAGCCACAGATGTCATTCCTTCATCCAGAGAGGATTCGACTTCAAGTTTCACTTCTTCGAGCTTTTTAACAGCATTTAAAATGGACTCCTGTTCTTTCACTTGTGTTTTGCGCTCAACGCCGAATTTCCTTCGTCTAAGAAAAAAGAAATAAAAAAGAGAAGCTCTCAACGCAGGTTTCACTTACTTCGCTAACTGTTGATACAAAGCGGCATCATCTAAATCCTCAGCGCCAGGCTCTCCTTCGTCTAGTGGACGGGGGGGTCTCCGAATTTCTGGATTCAACCTAAAACAATCGTGTCACTCGAAGGTTGTCCCAGAAACGTCATTTTGCGCTGCCCGGAAAGAAAAAGACCAGATCTTACCTCTCTATGAAGTTTCCCACAGTCGCTTCCTCTTCGGGATCTTCCGTTTCCTTTTTTTTATTTCTTGAAAGTCCTTTTTTTCCTTTTTTCATTTTCAAAGCGGCTTTTTTTCTTGCCATCTCTAATTCTTCCGCCGTCATAAAATCCTTTTGAACTCCAATGGTCGTTGCTAAGCTCACTGTATTCACAATCTTCTCCTCTTGGCGACTTTTTCCAATCTCACTTAACGGCACAGCTCCAACTGCGTCAACCCCTTTTGGCATTTTCACCATTTTCGCGTCTACTGCCCATTGGTCGTAATGCGGCAAGATATCCTTCCGATTCGTTCTTCCAAAATCAATAATTTCATCAGAGTCTTCCTCAAATGGATTGTAAGTCGTTCTTTGGATTTTTTCACTTTTATCTCGCTTCGATTTTGAATTCAGTTCAGGATTCTCCAAGAGATCTTCGGTGAGATCCAATTCGCCTTCACCGTCAATCAATCGGCGATCCTTCAACGTTAGGATGACTTCATCCCCAATCTTCATTTCTAAATCAGAAGTCTTATGAACGACTTTCAGATCAGCTGGAAATTCATCTTCATCCAAATCGGCTTGTCGATGTTTTTTCCTGCTCGGCTCCTCCGGCACTTCGTCCTTCTTGTCTCGCATCCTGGAGACCCAAGCTGTCGCACCCTCGGCTTCATCCGCAAGCATCTCTCCCAAACTTTGACCTCCAACCAGTTCATGACGAGTTCTCTTTGCGCGCGAATCATCAATTCTTCGTCGAAGTTCCGCAACGGTTGGCTCCACGGTCACGCTGTTGGCATCGATCACTGGCCTCTTTTCTTCTGCGGGACCTTCTCTCAGAGGTTTTAAACCGAGCAGAGCACGGACTCGGTTTGTCTCTTGGACACTCGCCGAGACCGTCCCATCAATTTCGGTCACCTCGACCTTAGGACCTTCGTTAGAGCTCATCCTGGTTCAGATAGCGTGACTGGAAGCGGGTCTGAGACACCTGAACACCTGAATCCCCAATGGCAACAGACTCCGCAATCGGGGTGATTGGAGGGACGTCGTTATTGGAAAGCTCTCTGTTCACCTCTTCAAATTTCAAAAAAGTCGAAGTGCCAACAAAAGCAGGGAACGGTGGGTGTATCTGGATCTGGATAGGCGCCCTGCCTCTCAGCAGAACTCATTTTAAGCATTTTATTGTTTATCTTTGCGCTGATTGATTGTTCGTTTTGTTTCTGCAGTATTTCTCTATGAACGAGCGGACAAGAAGCTGTATTTCGTACAACGACATGAATGCGATGCCCAAAGAGAGTGCGTCGTTTCTTATTTGACTTCCCTAACTTTGATGATAGATAACTTTGATGATAGATAACTTTGATGATAGATATCTTTGATGATAGATATCTTTGATGATAGATATCTTTGATGATAAATATCTTTGATGATAGATATCTTTAATGATAGATATCTTTGATGATAGATATCTTTGATGATAGATATCTTTGATGATAGATAACTTTGATGATTGATGATAGATAGCTTTGATGATTGATGATAGATAACTTTGATGATAGATAACTTTGATGACAGATAACTTTGATGACAGAAATGAAGGCTCACTCTCGGGGTCACTCTCTGGCCCGCTCAATTCTGTCCCGTTGTTTCAGATACTGCCCGCCGCACTTAATTAATTTTCCCGCAATAGCCGCTGCTCTGAGAATTAAAAATGTAACGAAGGTGGTTTCATTTGCAAGTGTGGGATCACTGAACAGTCAAATAGCACATCCCGGCGATATCATGATCATCGGTGGGTGGCGTTTAAGTTCTTCAACATTACTTGAACAAAAATTTAGTCGTCCAGTGTTGTTTAAGTCATTGTTATAAATAATTAATCAGTGAATACGTTTGGGTCGGACATCTTTCCACTTCTCATCAGATGACTACTTTTGTCCATTCCACCTTCCTTCATTTTATGCGCCGTTATCAAGAGCAGACCCAGATGTATTCAAGGAGGCGGGAAGTGCATTTCAGCGTCGTTGTCATTTCATTCCCACATTGAAAATCCCATTTCGTGATGAAGTCATTGGGGCGATCAGAGCCGTTCTTCCAATTCTTCCGCGGCAATCAGAGCAACGAAAATTGATAGACACGGGCGTGTATGCGAATGCAAGAGGTAATTGCTGTTCACCACTATTCTATCTATACTTTATCTTGTCTATATTCTATCTATACTTTATCTTGTCTGTATTCTATCTATAGTTTATCTTGTCTCTATTCTATCTGTATGCTATCTATAGTTTATCTTGTCTCTATTCTATCTATACTTTATCGTGTCTGTATTCTATCATCTTGTCGCTATTCTATCTATACTTTATCTTGTCTGTATTCTATCTATACTTTATCTTGTCTCTATTCTATCTATACTTTATCTTGTCTGTATTCTATCTATACTTTATCTTGTCTCTATTCTATCTATACTTTATCTTGTCTTTATTCTATCCATACTTTATCTTGTCTATATTCTATCTATACTTTATCTTGTCTTTATTCTATCCATACTTTATCTTGTCTATATTCTATCTATAGTTTATCTTGTCTATATTCTAGGGCCACGATTCGAAACAAAAGCTGAGATTAAATTTTACAGGTCAGTTTTCTCTATTTGTGCCATTCATTCATTTTTGGGTGTTAAAGCCAATTCGCAGATATAGTGGGAATGACTGCAGGACTTGAAGCAACCGCATTGCAGGAACAACACATAGAAGTCGTTTTCATTTGCATGGTAGGAATGCGCGATTCTCTGACGCAAGACGTTTTGAGTTTTATTTGTTTTTTCCATTCCAGGTGGATAATTACGCAAATGGCTTGCAGGTGAGACAATTCGCATCTGTTTGTTGATGAAGCACGTTTTTTCAAATGGGCATTATTACGAATACACTATTTTGCAGGACCTCACCCAACCGATTGCTGACTTAACAATGGCGCAATTCTACTTGTCGGTCGAATCAAATCAAAGTTGTGTTGAAGAAATGGCGGGCACCATTATCGGCACTTTCGCTCCGTCCTCTCAGTAAATTCCATTTTCCCATTCATTTTGTTTGGTTCAGCTAAAGGGCTTGGCTTTTTTCTGTTATTTGAACACGAATGGGGACGGATCGAATAGATCGTCTCTGCAAGTGTATGTGAAGCTCGACAACCACTGGGTGAGACTCGAACCCACAACACAAGAATGGTAGAGTTCAAAGCTGACGGACGTACCATAGAGGTAGCTCTTGATTCCCTGACATAAGTCAGATGAAGGCCGTCAATAACGGCGTTGCTCAGCTCAATAACGGCGTTGCTCAGCTCAATAACGGCGTTGCTCAGCTCAATGACGGCGTTGTTCAGCTCAATGACGGCGTTGCTCAGCTCAATGACGGCGTTGCTCAGCTCAATGACGGCGTTGCTCAGCTCAATGACGGCGTTGACGGCGTTGCTCAGCTCAATGACGGCGTTGCTCAGCTCAATGACGGCGTTGCTCAGCTCAATGACGGCGTTGCTCAGCTCAATGACGGCGTTGCTCAGCTCAATGACGGCGTTGCTCAGCTCAATGACGGCGTTGCTCAGCTCAATAACGGCGTTGCTCAGCTCAATGACGGCGTTGCTCAGCTCAATGACGGCGTTGCTCAGCTCAATGACGGCGTTGACGGCGTTGCTCAGCTCAATGACGGCGTTGCTCAGCTCAATGACGGCGTTGCTCAGCTCAATGACGGCGTTGCTCAGCTCAATAACGGCGTTGCTCAGCTCAATGACGGCGTTGCTCAGCTCAATGACGGCGTTGCTCAGCTCAATAACGGCGTTGCTCAGCTCAATGACGGCGTTGCTCAGCTCAATGACGGCGTTGCTCAGCTCAATGACGGCGTTGCTCAGCTCAATAAGCGTTGCTCAGCTCAATAAGCGTTGCTCAGCTCAATGACGGCGTTGCTCAGCTCAATGACGGCGTTGCTCAGCTCAATGACGGCGTTGCTCAGCTCAATAACGGCGTTGCTCAGCTCAATGACGGCGTTGCTCAGCTCAATGACGGCGTTGCTCAGCTCAATAACGGCGTTGCTCAGCTCAATAACGGCGTTGCTCAGCTCAATAACGGCGTTGCTCAGCTCAATGACGGCGTTGCTCAGCTCAATGACGGCGTTGCTCAGCTCAATCACGGCGTTGCTCAGCTCAATGACGGCGTTGCTCAGCTCAATAACGGCGTTGCTCAGCTCAATGACGGCGTTGCTCAGCTCAATAACGGCGTTGCTCAGCTCAATAACGGCGTTGCTCAGCTCAATGACGGCGTTGCTCAGCTCAATGACGGCGTTGCTCAGCTCAATAACGGCGTTGCTCAGCTCAATGACGGCGTTGCTCAGCTCAATGACGGCGTTGCTCAGCTCAATGACGGCGTTGCTCAGCTCAATGACGGCGTTGCTCAGCTCAATAACGGCGTTGCTCAGCTCAATGACGGCGTTGCTCAGCTCAATAACGGCGTTGCTCAGCTCAATGACGGCGTTGCTCAGCTCAATAACGGCGTTGCTCAGCTCAATAACGGCGTTGCTCAGCTCAATGACGGCGTTGCTCAGCTCAATGACGGCGTTGCTCAGCTCAATAACGGCGTTGCTCAGCTCAATAACGGCGTTGCTCAGCTCAATGACGGCGTTGCTCAGCTCAATGACGGCGTTGCTCAGCTCAATGACGGCGTTGCTCAGCTCAATAACGGCGTTGCTCAGCTCAATGACGGCGTTGCTCAGCTCAATAACGGCGTTGCTCAGCTCAATGACGGCGTTGCTCAGCTCAATAACGGCGTTGCTCAGCTCAATGACGGCGTTGCTCAGCTCAATGACGGCGTTGCTCAGCTCAATGACGGCGTTGCTCAGCTCAATGACGGCGTTGCTCAGCTCAATAACGGCGTTGCTCAGCTCAATGACGGCGTTGCTCAGCTCAATAACGGCGTTGCTCAGCTCAATGACGGCGTTGCTCAGCTCAATAACGGCGTTGCTCAGCTCAATAACGGCGTTGCTCAGCTCAATGACGGCGTTGCTCAGCTCAATGACGGCGTTGCTCAGCTCAATAACGGCGTTGCTCAGCTCAATGACGGCGTTGCTCAGCTCAATGACGGCGTTGCTCAGCTCAATGACGGCGTTGCTCAGCTCAATGACGGCGTTGCTCAGCTCAATAACGGCGTTGCTCAGCTCAATGACGGCGTTGCTCAGCTCAATAACGGCGTTGCTCAGCTCAATGACGGCGTTGCTCAGCTCAATAACGGCATTGCTCAGCTCAATAACGGCGTTGCTCAGCTCAATGACGGCGTTGCTCAGCTCAATGACGGCGTTGCTCAGCTCAATAACGGCGTTGCTCAGCTCAATAACGGCGTTGCTCAGCTCAATAACGGCGTTGCTCAGCTCAATGACGGCGTTGCTCAGCTCAATGACGGCGTTGCTCAGCTCAATAACGGCGTTGCTCAGCTCAATAACGGCGTTGCTCAGCTCAATGACGGCGTTGCTCAGCTCAATGACGGCGTTGCTCAGCTCAATAACGGCGTTGCTCAGCTCAATAACGGCGTTGCTCAGCTCAATGACGGCGTTGCTCAGCTCAATAACGGCGTTGCTCAGCTCAATGACGGCGTTGCTCAGCTCAATAACGGCGTTGCTCAGCTCAATGACGGCGTTGCTCAGCTCAATCCGTAGATCCCTGTCGTTGTTGTTGAAGGATCCTCGTTGTTGAGGCTTGAAGGATCCTCGGGTTTATTCACAAAGCAATTAGACGACTTTAACCTAGACGACTTTAACCTAGACGACTACCAGTTAGACATTTGGCTCCAAAGAAGAAAAAACAAAATCAGAACTGAATCCCCAACTGCAAGAATTCTCGACACCTTCTTCACACGTTGCATCCATATCTGACCACTCCATACCCCTCGCTTTCTTATTCAAACTTCATTGAGCAAATCATGAATCTCTTCTGGACAAAACGCTTTGAATTCATTTCTCCTTCATCGGTCTTCCACAAATCTTGAATCAGACAACTTTCCGAAATATTTATTCTCCGTCATTGCCCAGACAGCTGCAACAGCTTGGCATAAAGTATAAGTAGCAGATTCAACGCTACTATGGATAGTAGAAAACCAGCTTCAACTCCAAAGGGAAATACCGGACCGACATTTTCCACTCTGTTCATCCTCCACAATTGCCTTCCGCTCTGAGAATCATTATTATCTAGTCCGATTGACTTGCGTGTTTTTAAATCCCGTAGGAGTGACTTCCCACGTCTACTCTCCGTTGTTCGTCGTCCAGTCTGTTGATTTGCTGCTCGCATCTCCTCAATACTACTTCCCTTAGAACAGGCACCAGGTGTTTCTGTGTCTTTGTTTTCAATCACTTCCATAATTTCAATAATCTTTGATATATCTGTTGCTGCTGGTTCAATGACATCCCAGGTGTTCGTCAATGCTACTTGAAACAATTTGTGATAAAGTTGATTGCTGATGATGGAGTCTGCTGAGCGGTATTGTTGAACAGAAGAATCCCAATGAAGCAGCAGCTTCCAACCTCGTGCCACAGTTTCTTGCGACATCATCGTATAATTGGGCCCGTCTGGATTCCTATCTTGAACTAACGACCGAAGAGGAAGTAACTCGCTCACCATTGAGATAATGACACCAAATTGATACATTTCTGACGCTTCTGTATGGCACGCCGTCATAACAGGAACGAAACATCATGCCTCCTGGCGAACAACACATCTGGCCTGCGGACATTTTTCCATCCAGTTTACACGCCAAGCTGTACCCTTCGAAGTCAGATAGCGAACAAGCACCAATTTTACATTTGAATCAAAACAATCCCACCCAATAATAATTTAACGAGTGGTGTCGTTGTTGTTTCTATGAGGACGGAGTTCGGCGAGAAAAAGATTCGATGTGTGTGTTGTACTGAGATGAACCACAACGAACTCCACCGACAAGCAGAGAACGATCAATGGAATGTCATCGGGGAAGCAACAGACTACCAATCTAGCGTAAGCAGTCCCTGTTTGTTTCCTTGGATTTGGTTTTTCAAGGAGAAATCCCTCCTGTGCATGGGAGCAGTGGTCGATCAGCTTGGCATAAGGTGTCAATAGCAGGCATCCTCATCACAGGATGGCAGGCACCTCTGGCTATTGGACTTAACTGCCTCAAGTTTTGAACTGCGCGCCGTAATTTAAAATTTATGAAGGTGAGATGTATTTATTGGCTTGTCACAAGATATATTTTGGAATTTCGCGTTTACAGCGGAAAACAAACGCATACGCCGCATGTTGATCAACGCAGGAGCAATCTGGAGTGTTATTATATCCACGCGAAGAGCTGAACGACAGCTCGTTTTGCGAATAGCTGTGTGGTTTGGTGTATCACGGACAAAAGGTCAATCAATAGAAAATGCAAAAAGCAAACGAACAGCCGTGATCCATGAGTTAGAGTTCATCCAGATTGATCTGACGCACATTCAAGAGGACGTTTTCAGCACTGGGGGAATTTGCAGGCGTCACGCTCAAAATCGATCGAAAGAAAGCGGCAGCGCGTCCCCTGGCAGATGTTGGACCCTCAATTCAAAACAAAGGAAATAAATTGGAAACCGACATTATCATTCGACAAAATTGAAACATCTCTGAAGCACGTGTGTAGTGGCCGTTGACTAGAGTATCTCCCTCCCAACCGTTGTGTAAATCTTTATTTCGCCAATCAACTGCGTTTCCCTGTCGGCAAAACTCAAAATCAATAAGCGTGAACCGGACTAAAGCTCCACGAGTGGCTTTTCTGATGTTTGCCCATCGAATATCCGTGTGGAGAATGTCATTTTGATGGAAGCAGTGGATGCATTCAGCAATGTCCATTACAGCTTGAAGAGCTTCACGGGTACTCACTGGGGACACCGGGGCATGGCACATCGTCCATTACAGCTATGCAGTAACTAGAGATGTCAGATCGTCGTCGTGGAAGGGTTGCTCCTTGATATCCGTTAAAAATGACTCCACGATAAAAATCATTCATCTGAAACCAACTCCGATTCCGACGTAACGTCCCAACATTCTGGAAGAAGGCTTGATTTCTCCTTGTGATCTGATAAACTCGTGCAACGGCAACGATATCTGGAATGGAGACGCTTCTACCCCTTTGTGCAGTTACTTTGTAGACTCGACGGGTGTTGCCGATGACGCGCTTAATGACTCGTTTAAATGATGGATGACCGCAGTCAGTCCCAGCGTACTCATAAGCACGTGGAACCATCCGATGAAATACGAAACGGGATGAATTGACGATTACTCGGCAATAACTTTCAAGTCCATCGTCGGTATTGATGTCAAACGTTCCAAGCTGGAGTGCGGGGGCGTATCGGTTGTTGTTGGGATCATGAAGCCGAAATTGCACGTAACTTTGAGTTGCTTCGCAGCTAAGAAATACGTGATGCACATGGTTCCGATAGTGATCGACTTGGCATTCTGCCTTTTCCAACTGGTTCTCGTGGAGCTTGTCTTATTTCAAGAGGATCCAGCATCCAGAAAGGAACAGTGAGAAATCCGGACGATTTTGAATTCCCGCTACCCTAAAAGAATCACGAAATTACAAGAATAAGCTAGCAATGTAGACTTACGAAGCTTCATTCCAATGGGTGTCAAATTTCACGCCCAAAAGTCCAAGCAGAACTGTGATTGGACGATACACCAGGACGTCAAAATAGCCGGTCAGTGACTGTTCAGCAGTTGGAACTGTTGAGGGGTTCGGGAAGTCTCTATTCAATATTGCAGCAAATAGTTGGGATATCGCTTCTTCCCCTGAACGCCTCCAAAAAATCTCGTTGGCTTCGTCCCTTAACGTCGGCAATGGCACAGAGAGAGCTTTTTCTATTTCATGGTTTGGATCCTCCAAATCCAAATCATCTTCAAGTAGTTTTAGTGCTGTTGTTGCAGAGATATCTATTGGTGCATCCGATAGGTCGTGTAGCTCAGCATACAAATCAAGATAACGAGCACTTCGTGCACGGTCCGTCCACAAATACATCGACTTTAGACTGACGGGGACTGTGCTTCTGAAAACTGAAGCTTCATCATTAAAATTGATGCTTCCATCAAAAGACGAAAGCGTGTCTTCAAGTCTTTGATCTTGCATTTCAAAGGAGAACGGAAGCGGCAAAATGTGAGTTGGTGACTCATGCACAAGTTTAGGACACAGGAGATACACAAGTTCTGAGTGAGATGAATCAACAATTTACACTGAGTGAGAATGATCAACAATTTACACTGAGTACAATTTACACTGAGAACTATGGGAGTGTTACCTGCTGGGAATACCGATGAGCTCTGCTTGCCTTTCTATTCTTCACAGATTCTTGTAATTTGCTCGTGACGGAGAAGCTGAGGAATGGTGACAAATCCATTGCAGCAAATTGACGGCGTGCCATACAGAAGCGTCAGAAATGTATCAATTTGGTGTCATTATCTCAATGGTGAGCGAGTTACTTCCTTTTCGGTCGTTAGTTCAAAATAGTGAAGGAATGTCAGATCGACTGAGCTCTACCTTCTCTTGTCTCTTGTGCCTCCAACTTGCACCACATTTCGGTCATGTGTGGGAGAGCGTCAAAATTGTCCATGGCTGGGAATCATATGTCTGAAGCAGTAAGGACTGTAGGATTCCCAAGTAGTGAGAGCAATCAAACATTCGACTTTTCTGCAAAAATTGATAACAAATGCATTGTATACTTGTATAGCGTTTCTTTTGGAGCTGTTGATGTCCTCCAGTAATCCCTGTGATTATAAAGAAGAGGCAGATCTAAATGGTGTTGTAGTCTCCATTTGTTAACGATCTCCGTCCCGGTAGCGCCTGATCTCCGGTTCGACCGTTCAACCAGTCAACCAGTCCGAGAGCCGGTAAAAAACAAACAAAACTCTTCGTTCAGGTCAACAGACACCGTTAGCCCTCTATTTTATCGAGAAAAAAATGACAAATGGCAGCAATCAACCTAAATTGTTGGAAGCGGGATTGATCGACGTCATTGCCCAAGCGGCGAAATTGAACCAGCAGGAACAGATGCTGCTATATCAGAGATTGTTGAAATCATGAAGGTGGTGGAAGGAGAAACAAGCTTACAGGGACAACTGGTCTTCTAAGGGAAGTCGTATTGGGGAGATTTGAGGAGAAAATCAACAGACTAAAGGAATACGATGAACAATGGAGAGTAGACGTGAAGGAAGAAGTCACTGTTCAGGATCTGGATTTCAATAGACGTAAGTCAATCAGACTGCATAATAGTCTAATGTTTATGGTTCACAGAGCGGAAGGCAACTGTAGCGGCTGGGCTCTGTGAAAAATGTCGGATGGACATTTCCCTTTGCCTCGAAAATAAACAATCGCTGGATGGTGTGGGCGGTCTTCGCGGTTGTTGAATTGAAGGTGGCTTCTTCTATTCCTACTATTCATAAAAGCGTTGAAAAAGCCCTCCAGGAAACTCAAGGAACTGCTCTCCACCAAGTTCTTGTGTCCATTTATGACATGGACATCCCTTCGAAGTTGGAGCGCTGCGGGATCGATTCTGACCCCTCTAGCTTGGTGCTGTTTTGTGGAGAGAAAGCTTTAGCGTATGAGTTTCAAGTAGAGATTCCAGAAATTGGGGGACAGTTTGAAGTTGCCACAGCAGATACACGCTCCACTGGA